TGAATGGACCAATGGGTCTGATCTGTGGCCATGATTAGGGCTTGATAGAGATAAAAGGCTATGAAATGTTTGTTTCAAATCTGATAGTTCGTTCGCATGATATTAAAAAAATAATTTTCAGCAAAATTTTGAACAATTTTTTTTGTATAGAAAAAAATTCTCATGACCACAGATTCATTTTTTTCGTATAGAAAAAATTCTCAGGAAAACAGGTCCAATTTTCTTCGTATAGAAAAAAATTCTCAGGGTCACAGGTCCACAATAGTGAGCTCCTTCTCCATTTTTGAAGAAATTTTACTATATTTGTTCTACAAATCAATTCACATAAAGTTATCTTGCCTTGAATAAACGAGTGTGATGATTTAGTTTCTACTTTCGAGTTTTTCTTCTTCTAAATATCTTGAAATCGAAAGCAACAAGTAACTCTCTTTCTCTAACTTCTTGGTTGGTCATTTAATTACTTCCGTTCTTTTGCTGCTAGTTTTTTATTTGGAAATTATAACTTCATTTACTCACGTAAATTGTTATTTTATTATCATTGTTGTTGAGATATTTGTATTTTTTTTTTTGGTTTAATGCAATCTTTATTTTATTGTTGTTCCGTGTACAAAACAACAACAATAGTACCCATATATCTGTGATTTGCTTTACGCATTCTTCTTCTTTTTCCTCCCAAATCGAACAATTGGACATTGTACAATTAATTAAATATGCAGGTCTTGTTTATATATTATTTACAATCCGTATGTGTGTGTTTCTTCCTCACACAAAAACTGTATAGAGCGTAGCGTAGGAGGGGGGGCCTCTACATATGTCGGAAATTCACTTGTTTTTCTATTCATGTCTTATATGTCTATATCCTCTCGCTCGATGCTTCTGCCGACTGGCTTGTTGTTTTATCCATTTATAGTCTGGACACGCCCCATAATGGCTAGTTGTTTAAAATAGAGAGACCCATATATTTTTATATGGGATATTTGGCATTGTGTGTTTATTGTGTGCTTTACAAATGAATTAGAAACAACAACATAAACAACAGAAAACGAAACACTTCCAGTAAATTGATGTAATATTTGAAATTTGCATTGCAAACAAACAATAAATGAATGTTTAAAAAAACCATCACGATACGACGGAGGGGAGTATGGTGGGGTGGTTGGTTCATCTTCATCATCTACATTTTCAGTTTTTTAGGTTAATATATTTCTTTTGAAATAGTAACCTATTTATAACTAACGCCATCATTGTGGTAATATGTCTGTACAGTTGTTTGTAATACGCCAAAGGAAATCAGATTATCTTCACTACGGGGAAGACCACAGGTACATTTTTTCGTATAGAAAACAATTCTCGGGCCACAGGTCCAACTTTTTTCGTATAGAAAAATTTCTCTGGACCACAGGTCCAAGTTATTCGTATAGAAAAAAAAATCTCAGGACCAAAGGTAAATTTTTTGCGTATAGAAAAAAATTCTCAGAACCACAGGTCCAATTTTTTTTTTGTATAGAAAAAATTCTCAGGACCACAGGTGCATTTTTTCGTATAGAAGAAATTCTCAGGACAACATGTCAATTTTTTTCATATAGAAAAAAAATTCTCAGAACCTTACTTATTTAGCTGGCTTATGATAGAACGGTTGTTCCATAAGCCGAGCTTAAAAAAGATTTCCAGGCGCGTCGGTTTTGTGCGCATTTCATTCAATTTGAAATACCATTTTCGGAGATGTTTTCTTCTACTTGATCTTTCCATAGGATTCGTGGCCGCCTTCCCCTTCTGCATGATCCATCAGTTGGTTCACTTTGAGCTGGGGTATCTTCATCCATTCTCACAACATAACCTAGGCAAATTAGTCGCTGCAGCTCCATACGTCTAATAACGCCGATGTCCGAGAATAGATGGTATAGCTCATCGGCCTATAGATCTTCCGGAGAATTTTTCTCTTAAACACTCCGAGAGCTGCCTCATCTGCTTGCGCAAGTACCCATGCTTCAGATCCATACAACAGCACGGATAGTATCAGCGTCTTGTAGAGTGTGAGTTCGGTCTGACGGGAGGTGGCCTTGTTTATGAATTGCTTACTCAGACCATAGTAGCATCTCTTGGCCAACACTATTCTCCCCCGGATTTGAAAGCTGATGTTATTAATTTTGTTTATGGCGGTACCAAGGTATATAAAGTCGTTCACTACCTCGAAGCTGTAGTTTTAAAGTTCTTTGGGTATGCATTCCTCTAGCCAAATTGTACAACTGAGCTGGAAAACATTCTCAGGACCACAGGTTAATTTTTTTATTGAGAAAAACATTCTCAGGACGACAGGTCCAATTTTTTTTAGCTTCCATATATTCAAATCTTTCAAAAAAGTGTTTTCAGAGTTCAGCTTTAAAGTTAGGTGGCTATACTAATACCATTTATCAGTTAGTAGCCAACCAAATAATCCATTTTTTTTGGTTTAATACAAAACCACATATAATTACTAAATCCATAATAATTATTTGAGGTTACAAACGTTCAATTGAGTTTATACTTGTTGGAATTGGTTATGCTGCTGCGACTACGTGGTGCACGTATGCCGTCGTCGTATAGTATTACATTTATACGACGATTGTCGCAGCAGACTCATCATCATCATCATGCACTGGTTTTTAATTTATGGGCCAATTGCGTGCCAATCAATGAATGACACACAGTAAAAGTAAAAACAAAAATACGATTTATATTGTTTGGAAGAATATCAAATTCAAAATCAGACAGATATATGAAGACTAAGAAGAAGATACAGACAACATGAACCTGTTGGGTATAAAGTTAAAATAATATAAAGTTGTGATTTGAGAACATTATATAGGTATCATCATATAGAGGTCATGTCAAAACATGGATGGAAGTTCTTCCGACTCCAAGATTTCCAGAATCTAGATCTTTCAAAATGCATAGAATGAGGCAGGAACTTATTATAGAAGCTATGCCAATACCGGTACCTATATACAAAATGGCAAATAATATAATTTTCGGTTCGAATATACGTAATATAATACTATATATAATACTATATTTCAAAGGTCCAGTTTTTTTTTGTATAAAAAATTCACAGAACCACCATAGGCCAATTTTTTCTTATAGACCAAAACTCTCAGGACCTCGGGTCCAATTTTTTCTTATAGACAAAAATTCTCAGGACCTCGGGTCCAATTTTTTTCGCATAGAAAAAAATTCTCAGAACCAAGGCTCCAATTTTTTGGCATAGGAAAAAATTCTCAGGACCATAGGTCAAATTTTTGGTATAGAAAAAAATTCTCACGACCACAGCTTCAATTTCCATTCCCTTTCCAATTTTTTTGGTATAGAACAAATTTCTCTGGAACACAGGTACAAAGAAATTTTTAGGACCACGAGACTTCTGGACACATTTCACAACGGAATTTGGCTGTTATTTGATATTTTGGGTTCTATGTTTCTCAATATAAAGAAATGGAGCAACATATTGTAAATGGACATATTGTCAATATAGGTCCGATTGAGATAAAATTTTGCTCAGGGTACTGAATCAGGTCCAGATTGATGTATGAGAAGTTTTGTTGAAATCCGTTCAGATTTAGATATATATCCTATATATTGTTTCGTCCGATTTTATGTAAATGGTGCACCAAACTCCCAATATTTGTCCGATTGAGACAACGTTTTGCAAAGAGTACTGAAATAGGTCTACATTAATGTATGCAAAGTCTTGTTGAACTCGGTTCAGATTTATGTATACCTCCCATATATATTTTCGTCCCATTTGCATGAAATTTGGCACAGCGTAATGAATTAGGTCTAGAGTGATGTGTGTTAAGTTTCCTGAAAATCGGCTCAGATTTAGTTATAGCTCCCATATATATTTTCGTCCGATTTAAAGTAAATGGTGTACCAAAGTCGATTTGCACGAAATTTGGCATTACGTACTGTATTGAGCCTAGAATGATGTCAGCCAAGTTTCGTGAAAATCGGTCCAGATTTTGATAAGGCACCCTTATCAATTATCAATTGATTTTAAGTAAATTATGAACTCAACATGTGGCCGATATGCATAAAACATACGGAAATTAGTATAGCCTAACCTGTGACAATTTTCGATGAAATTGGTTTAGATTTCTATAAAGCTTTTATATATATTTTCGTCCGATTTTAAGTAAATGGTGCACCAAACTCCTCATGTTTATCAGATATTTATCCAAATAATCAACGGGTGTCCGATTTGTATTTGCCTTAAATTGATTTATATAATTTTGTCCCATTGTAAGAAGCCAGCTCCGTTTGACTTTACTACTTTCCTTACTTTTTTTTTTAATTTTTCGAAAATCTGCTTTAAAAGTGTCTGTAATTTACTATTCCTTATGGCCTATGGCTTGCAAAATATCCTTAAAAAATATAGGCGATATACATAGGTCTACTTCTTTGCTATGTTCCTTATATAAAGATCCCATAATACTTTGGGCCGGTTGTACTTAAAAGGACCTAAAGAACATCCATAATAGGTGTTTTACTTATAAATGTAATGTATAAAGTTTTCTTCCTTTACTGGACATGAGATGAGATTGTTATTACTATATATATATAATCATATATAAAATATTCCATATGTCTATTCCTAGACATTTACAAATCATATGACAACAACTATATATTTTTATCATCTTTCATTTTTCAACACATTCCACAAATGATTTAAAAACAAACAAAAATAAAAGGGCAAGCAAGAAAATAAAATCTGAATCAGTACATTTCTTTGTATTACTAACAACAGCAAAACAATGAAATAAAAATAAATTAATTGCTTAAGTTTTATTTATTTTTTGTCATGATTTGTTTTGTTGCTGCTGATAGTTTCGTTACTTGTTTTCTGGTGTGCAAGAAGAAGTGAGGAAGATGAAAAAAAACTACAAAAAATTATGAAATATTTTCATATAATGTTTTTTATTATTATTGTCCATAGTGTTTACATTGCTGCGGCTGCTGCTGTCTCAGCCATTTAAAATTATCACCAAAGAACATTCACTGCATTCAACAATCAATTCACCATCATCATCGTCGTCGTTGTCGTGGTTGTTTTGTTCGTCACCACCACCACCATTGACACTGCCGCCGCCTTCTACTGTTGTTTCTTTTGTATCGGTTTTTACTCCTCCACCATCGGCAGGGGCTACGGCACCAGTACTTCTCGTACTACTAGTGTTGTTGGTGGTGGTGGCGGTGGTGTTATTGCCTTTACGGCAATATTGTTCGGCTGACTCATCAACAATATATTGACCGCCACAACGGCAATCATATGTATAAATGTAGGAGGAAGGCGGTGGCGGCAATTCATGGCAATCACTTTCCATTCCTTTGACAGCACCACCATCATCATCATGGTCGTCATCATCATCGTAATGTTGCTGTTCGACGAGTTCAATCTCCGTGTTGGGACACTTTTTCATTTCATGCAATTGTATGTGGGCATAGATATTGTTATGCGTATGAAATTTATTTAGCAAAAGTTCAGCATCGTAACGTTTACGCTTGATGGGGTCTTTAAGACAATTCCATGCTTCGGTAATGGCCACAAATTCTCCATCATTGGCGGCGGCTTGGCATTGCGGGTCAATTTCTAAATTTACTTTTGTTTTTGTTTTGCTTTCAACATCATCATTACATTGCTGCTGTTGTTGTTGCTGCAGCAATTTATCGGGATGACATTGTAAAATTAAATTTTTATAATTAATTTTTAATTCTTCCACGGTGGCTGAAGGTGTTGCATTTAAAATTTCATAGAAATTTCGTTTTGATGATGATGATGACATCCCGTCCGTCCCCCAAGCTCTTTGGTAGCGATCTGTAAGAGAGAGAAAATATAAAAAAGAATTGTTTTATGGAATTTTTTCTTAAAAAAATACTAAAAAAATTGTGACGGTACTTACATTATTAGTACATCATAAGAAGCAGAAGAAGATATATAATTTTTTTTCTTTTTTCGTAGTAAATAAATGAAATTCCAAGCTCATGATGATAGTGATGATGTTTCCCAATAATGTCGTGTATTTTATTTCGTTTCACTTTTGTATTTTAAAAAATTAAAGCAAGTTGTGGTGTACCACTCGCGCGTCATTCCTTTTTAATAAAAAAGAAGGTCGCAGCCACTCCTTGAAATCATTTTCCATGCTTAACACAGGCATGCATTGAAGATACATGATAAAGGATATAGGGAAGGAACAAATACTCGAAGTTATACGACCGGCCGTAAAGGATAAACAACAAAAATTTAATGGCAATGACTGTTATATGTAAATCTGGACCGATTTTCACGAAAGTTAGCATACATCATTCTAGGCTGAATACAGTAAGCTGAGCCAAATTTCGTGCAAATCGAAAGATATATAGGATTTTTGGTGCACCATTTACATTAAATCGGACGAAAATATATATGGGAGCTATATCTAAATCTAAACCGATTTTCACGAAATTTAGCATACATCATTCTAGGCTGAATACAGTAAGCTGTGCCAAATTTCGTGCAAATCGAAAGATATGTAGGGTCTTTGGTGCACCATTTACATTAAATCGAAAAAGTTGACCTTTTGTGGGGGTAGGAGGCACTAGAAGAAGTGAACCGATAAGTCCCATTTTCCAACAATATGCAGGTATGGTTAAATATTAGGTTGTTCAAAGGTTGTGTGGGAATCGGATGCTCTGTTCGCATGATATAAAGTGCATTTTCAGGACTATTTTCAGGCTATTTTCTGGTTGAGATGCCAGAATGAGTGGTCCGGTTTTCCCCATTTTCGCACTTAATATGAGTTTGAAAGAAATTTTACCACGTACACAACTTCGATCAAATAGGAAATTCCATTTGATTAATACTAGTAGATATATAAATATTGAAAATGTTGACCCTTTGTGGAGGAGGTATCAGAGGGAGAGAACCATGGGGTCCCATCTTTGGACTTGATTTACGTTTGATAAAGAAAATTAGGTTCTGTAAAATTTGGTTTAAATTGGATAGTCCGTTCACGTGATATTATAAAATTAATTTCCCGCAAAATGTTGACGATTTTTTGGTGGGGCAGGTACATGAAGCAATGGACCAATAGACAAATATAATGTTAGAAAAAATTATTACGATATGCAAAGTTTGAATGTTAACGGTTAACCCCTTCTAGAGCTATCGTGCGCATCTACCGGCCAGGCAGACAGAAGGACAAACATTTTTAAATCGACTCCAAACTGTCTGAAACGGATTTGGTTCAAAGGAGCATAGGGTCTATCAGGAGCATGGGTCGATATTTTGATTAGGCAAATTTTTTGCGTATTAAATGCGTATTTTTTGCGTATTACCCTCATTAGCTATAAGGCTGAGGTTAAAAATATTATCTGAAGATCCCAAATATATCAGTGGCTTGCGAGAACGAAATATAGAGATACTCATAGAGATATTTGTCGAACGTTACGTTAAAAAATATTCCTTATCTATTTGCAAAAAATATAATTTAAAAACAAGTGAGCGGAGCAGTACAGTCGGACGGGGCCGTCCATATGATACCCTACTAAATTTTCACGAAATTCTAACTTTCTGTGGTTCTATATTCTGAGCATTGACAATATTTTGCGATATTTGCACCCTCTTGACCAACTAGAGGTCAACAAATGTTACTAATATTCAGTACGTCTAATTACTTCTTGTCCAGATTCCCTTTACCGTGGGTTGTGTTGCGATGTTCGGCTTTCAATTGTTAACTGTAACTCCCATATCCCAGTACATAACGACAATATAATTGCTATCAATTTAAAGGTCAACCACTCCTCTTGCATATACTAACAATTTCTCAGGTCTATGGCCTTCAGGGGTAAATATATACGCCATAGAATACAAATTTTGTAATTTTCCCACACAAAAGACAGTTTCCATTTGACCCGCTATTTCTTTGTTTATTATTTGGCCCGATCCTCCTCTCCATGTAAAAATTCGCGATGTTTGAGCCATAATTGCGATCTCTGGAGCAATCAGAAAATCAGACAAAATTAAAATTGTTGGTCCATTTCTTTACGAAAACAATAGGGGTCTTCATTGGCCAGAGTCCATCCTACATGCAAAATACCGTGAAGATTGATCCATAACTGTAGCCTGTATCGTGTTTACAAATTTAATGGACAGACAGACGGACGGACACACATGTCTAGATAGACTCAGCAAGTCGAGATATGGCCATCGGTCTATATAAGGTGGGTCTAGGACCAATATTTTGCGGCGTTACAAACTCTTGGGGCTGCACAAGAGTATAATACCGTGACAACATAGTTGTGTAGGGTATAAAAAATCAAACTCGTTATTGAAAACTCCACCCAGACCGTCCCTTTGATTATTTAAATATCCTAGACATGCAAACATCCGCCACTGCTTTCCTTCATATTCCCATGATAAGACGAAATATTTGACCATTTAACCGATAAAGGCACACACACACCCCTACATAGGTGACTTACTAACGTCATCGGAATGGATAAGGTAGATCTATGGGAATTCGTAACATATGTCCAGCCAAGGACATTCCTTTACGAATATGTATGTATGTAGTTATATTTGTACATTACAAATAAATAATACAATAATACCAAATTGATTATGTACACAGGCGATTATTTATAGATTAAAGACAAAACACAACAACAACAGATGATAGAAAAGGAAATAAACGATAATTACTGAACATTTTCAAACAAATTTGGGACGTGAATAACAACAAATGGATAAAACGTAGAATGGAAAGAAAAACTAAAGACAAAAAAAAATATTTTGACCAACAAAAAATATTAATATATCAACACTGGCCACATAGACTTAAGGGGTGGGCTGGACACAGACATGACATAGCATGCGAACGACCGACCGGCCGATGGAAGTTAAAAAAATGGAAGAACGAAAAATAAACAAAAACCATATGTATGCATGCATGTGTGAGTTTAGAAAAAAAAATACGCAACAACAACACAAAGTAAAGATATGACAGCATAAACGACAAGAGACAACAATCAACGGACCGACCAGCCGACCGGTAGTAGTAACGGTATAAACCGCGCATAAGCAAAAGAAAGTTGTATTGACGAATAGAAAAATGAAAAAACAAATAGATTCCTTTTCCCTTTATAATGAATATCCCCCCAGCAGAAATACGCCAACACACAATTCCCAATAGTTTGTTTTGGGGGGTGCTGAAGACGAGGAGTTGTGGGAGGGTGGGTGTTACGATATGTTGTTAACTTCATTTCAAATGCAATGACCCAATTTTTGTTCACATGGAAATGCAGAGGATATTCAAGAAGGAGAAGAAGCAGAAAAACTAAAAGGAAATTAAGCGGCTTTCCAGTTTAACTTAATTTAACTCTTAACTTCCTCTCTTTTTCTTACACTTTTCTCTGATGTTAACACTAAAATGGAAAATTTGTTTTAAAATCTTTAAATTTTAAAATTAATTATAATACCTTTAACACAGATCGAGTTAATCTTATACAAGACGCCTCCCATTCCCCCAATATCTTTTTTGGATTGGCACCCCACACCCTTCGCTCACACACACACACCCTATGGGAAAGGTTTTTTGTTTGTTTAAATGCGTTGATGATGATTAATTTTTATGCAAATTCTTGCTTGCACACACACACACACGCTCTCACACACTCCTCACTCTCTGGACAATAAAGTCTCTTACAACAACACCAACAACAAAAGTGATTTACATTTGAAGATGAGATGAAAAGAAATAATGAAATAAAAAATCACACATTAATTAAAATTGACTTAATATGCTACTTTTAATATAAAAAAAATCAATTTGCTGATATGTATACACACACACGTAAGGTATATACGCTATCTTTTGCTGGTGCTGGCTCCATAAAGAGGGCAGCAGCAGCGGCAACAACAACTTACACTTACCTTTTTTGGAAAATAGATCAGTCAAGCGAACAAGAGCAAGCAGCAGCAAGAAGAATCTTTGTTGTAACTACAAGACGGCGACGACGACGTCGAAAAGGAAACACGATATCCACCAACAAAAACAAGAGCAATTGATGATGGTGGGGTGTTGAAATTTGACTTATGCTTATGGCAGTAATAATTAGTTGTTTTTTTTTTGTTTCTTTCAATCACTTATTTATCTCATACATAATTCATATGTATATATATATATATATCTCGTTGTTCTCACGCGATTTATTTTCTTTATCTTATAAATCTTTTTGGTTTTTTTATAAAATAAACACAGGCACACCACTTCCTTCGCACGAAAAAAAAATATTCACAATGCGAACAATTTTGTTCTGTTCACTTTCTGGTTCCGTTCGTTCCGAACTGTAATGACAAGCAGCGAGCAGCGGTTGTCACAGTTGTTGTAAAATGTACCAAAAATGGTATGCAACAGTGATGTTTAATGTGGGTATCATCGCAACACACTGAATGTGATGTTATCAATGCAGTGTGAATGCCTGCAAGAGAGGAGTGATAACACGTCACTCGTTGTTTTATGTGGTGTGGTAATGGGGCAAATTGATTAGAAATATGTTTTTATTTTAAGATTGAAAAAAAATTGAAGCACAAGCGTAGATTTTGCAAAAAAAAAAAATATATATATATATTAAAGGCTATAAAACATGCCAATTAGTAAACATTAGTACGAATTTCCAAAACAATCCTACAACCCAACAGTAACCCTAACTCCAAATTTCAGGATTCCAGCTGTATTGGTTCACCCAAAATTTAAATTGTACAAAATTTAGTACAAATTTGTACGTATTTCCAAAATGTCCTACAAAGACCAATCCTACACCCCAGCAGTGATCTTAACATCAAAATTCAAAATTCCAGGTATATCGGTTAACCCAAATCCAAATTTGGTACCATTTAGTACACACTAGTACGAATTTCCAAAACTTTCTACATAGCTCAATCCTACACCCTAACAATGATCCCCACTACAAATTTCCGGATCCCAACTTTATCAGTTCATCCAAAATTCAAATTGTACCAAATCTAGTACAATATAGTTCCAAAAAGTATGAATTTCCAAAACTGTATCCATACCCCAATCCTACACTCCAACAGTTTCCAAATTTCTAGGTTTCCAGCTCTATTGGTTCATCTAAAATTTAAATTGTACCATATTTAGTACCCAATAGTACGTATTTCCAAAACTTTCCACAAAGCCCAATCCTACAACCCATCGGTAATCCGAATGTCAAATTTCAATCAGTTCACTAAAATGCACATTTGGTACCATTTAGTACAAATTTCCAAAACTTCAGTTCACTCAAAATTTAAATTGCACAAAATTTAGTTCACATTAGTAGGAATTTCCAAAACTTCCTAAATAGCTTAATTCTACCCCAACAATGATCCCAACACCAAATTTCAAGATTCCAGCTCTATTGCTTCAACCAAATCCAAATTGTACCAATTATAGTACGATTTAGTACTTTTCGTACACATAAGTACAAAATTTCCAAAACTACGTACATAGTTTAATCCTACTCTCCGGCGATAATGTTAATTTTAGTGTTCAAGCTTCATTTCTACCTCCAATTAAACATTGTACCAAATATAGTACCATAGAGTACTTTCCGATTTCAAAACCACGTCCTTATATCGTCCCTACTTCTCAACCTTAATTTACATTCCAAATTTAATGTTTTAGCTCTATCCATTCACATGCTCCGAAATTGTACCAAATTTAGTACATTTTAGTACTTTTCGCATACTTATAGTACGCATGTCAAAAAAAATCCCTTTGCTATATATATTTTACACTCCATCAGTGACCCTCATTTAAAATTTAAGTGTTCTAAATCCATCGGTTCGCCAAATACAAATGATATCACATTAAGTGCTTTTCGTACCGTTTTAGTACGAATATCCATGCCTATTTTTCTAATATTTATTAGGAAAAATATTCATAAAAATCCATGCCAATAATTTTAATATTTCTTCAAAAAATATTCGTATACAACTTTTTATCGCCGCTTGAATAATTGCTTGCTTGATGTGTTACCCTGCCACCTTAAAACGACAATCCCATTATTTCGTATTTTATCATTCTACAGTATTCTAAACATTATTTGGATCGTTTTTTAATTGTGTTGGTGAGTGAGTTGAGCAAGCCTAATCGCCTCATTTGTTTTGATTCCCCGATTCGGTCCGATTTTCGATCTAACGACGACGGACCCAGAAGTTAGTTGTTTGGCATTACTTGACGTGATCGATTAAGATAATTTGTGATAATTAATAACAATTAACTGCCAGATAAAAAAAAAAAAAACAATATCATGTTCAAACAATCTGCCTTTGCAATTTGGCGCAAAGAACAGGAGAATAAAAAAATAATTTCATTAATCAAGGATTTGGATGTTAGTTTGGATGGTGGCATACCACTGGGTCAAATTACAGAGTTTTGTGGTAGTTCGGGTACGGGCAAGACACAATTATGGTAAGAAAATAGAAACTATAAAACTAAAATTTATTTTTAATAATTTGTATTTTTTCCAATTAGTTTACAATTGTGCATAAATGTTCAACTACCCCAAGCAGCTGGAGGTCTGGGCGGTAAAGCATTTTACATCGATACCAATCAGGGATTTTCACCATTCCGTTTAAAAGGTAAATGAAAAAAAATTAGAAATTCAGATGACAGCTACTAATGCAGATACAAGTTATCTATTGATAATGGAAAATATAACGGCGCCTAAAAGTATGCAATTATTTATTAGGCATTATGAATGTGATGCTGTTGATTGCTTTAGTTTGTAATTTTGACGTCAGGGGGAGATAATTAAAATCAATTTTTTTTAGAAATGCGAGTGTTAAAATAAATTGGACAGTTATTAAAGGAAATGACGCGGAATATAAAAAAAAAAACAATTTTTTGGAAAAGTAGATGTGAAAAAGAATTTTAAAATTTTGCCCAAATAGGCGCTAATTTTGTAAGAAAAAATTGAAAAAAAATATTGCCAAAATATAGACGGATCTTTTAGGAAAAAATGAAAAATATTTATAAAAAATATTTGAAAAAAATTGCTTTAATTTTTTTTTTTATAAAAAAAAGTTTAAAAAGTATTTACCTAAACTTTTCTAGAACAAACTTTGAAAAATAAATTTTTAGAAAATATTTAAAAGAATTATTACATGGATTTTTTAAGAAAAATATAATTTGGAAAAATATTGAATTTTGTTGTCAATTTCTAGAGGCTCTGAAAAAAGTATTTTTTATTTTTAAATTGTATTTGTTCCTTCCAGAAATCGCCGAACACATGGAGGCCCGCTGTCAACGTAATTCCACAAAATGCCACAACTTCAATCTTACAACAATTCTCAATAACATCACCTATGTTTATTGTAATAACTATTGCGCTTTAATGGCTAGCATTTTAAATTTACACAATCTACTGCAAGAGGAGCACGAGGAGATTCCCCTTAAACTAATGGTTATCGATTCGTATGCCTTTGTCCTAAGGCAATTGGATGATGTTGATTTACGGACTCGTGTCAATTATGAAATATTAACCGATTTACACAATCTGGCCATGAAATATGGAATAGCGGTGAATGAGAATTACATACTTTCTATAGGAATTTATTTTAAATCGGTTATTATTTTTTATTTTTTTTAGATTGTAATTACAAATGAACTGACCACACGCTGTCGTGATAATACAAATTGGTTTGTTTGCACAGCCCTGGGTGATACACATACACACAAGATAAATACACGCTTATTGTTGAGCAAGGATTCAAATGAGATGGAGGACTGTGCCGCCGATCAAAATTATCACATCGTTATGATTGAAAAATCGGTAGTGTGCAAACGAATGGCTTTTCGTTTTAAGGTATGAGAAAAACTATTTTTATTTTTAATATGAAATTATCTCATTGTCTTTTTATTTTGAAATTGCAGATAAAACCAAGTGGTATACACAGCATAACAACACGCCAGACATAATCAAACAAGGTAAACAAGATGCGTCATAATACGTCATTCTTTATTAACTATTTGACAATATACATTGCGTCACGTGACATATACAGAGATGCCTCAACCCAATACTCATTTCCCTTTTAACTTTGCAAATTCCATTTTTTAATCTCTCAGAATGAAAGATCAAACAAATGATTCAAATACTCTCAACCACAAACAGAAAACTCATACAAATCTCTTGATATGTGAGAAAATTATTTTTATTCTCAATATTTGTAGATTTCAAAAATTGTTTAACCGCACTCTACAATTAGTAATTATTTATTGTTGTTGTTTTTTCGCTTATAAATGATTCACTGTCGTCATAAATAGCCACAGCTTTAAGTCATGAGTCGGTTCTAGTTTTATTTATTTTTTTTTTTTAATTTCACCAGCAATATCTGACTCAATATAGTTCAGAATCATTTGCCTACTCTGAGAGCAAAATGTCAACGATTATTTGCTGAGATTTTCAATGGGTTTGGGTAGAACAGTTTATAACCCCGAGGTAAGGTTCAAATTTCAGACTGTATCAATGTTCGAAATTTGTCATAAATTTTCCATAGAAACCTTAATTCAGCTGGACTGCATTAAATATTTCCCACAGAAATCTCAGTCCTGCTGAATTGAATTTACTATTGGAGATCTAAATTGAAGATTTACCATAGAAACCTTAATTCAACTGGGCAGTATTGAAGATTTATTTAGCTGTGCTGAATTGAAAATTTTGCATAGAGAGCTGGGCTGAATTGAAGATTTCCCATAGAAACCTTAATTCAGCTGGGCTGAATTGAAGATTTCCCATAGAAACTTTAATTCAGCTTGGTTAATTTGCAGATTTCCAACAAAAAAATTACTTCAGCAGGACTGAATTGAAGATCTTCCATAGAAACCTTAATTCAGCTGGGCTGAATTGAAGATTTCCCAAAGAAACCTTAATTCAGCTGTGCTGAATTGAAGGTTTTGCATAGAAACCTTAATTCAGCTTGATTGAATTGAAGATTTTGCATAGAAACCTTAATTCAGCTGGGTTGATTTGAAGATTTTCCAATGGAATCCTTAATTCAGCTGGGCTGAATTGAATATTTTACATAGAAACCTTAATTCAGCTGGGCTGAATTGAAGATTTCCCATAGAAACCCTAATTCAGCTTGGTTGATTTGAAGATTTCCAATAAAAAAAATAATTCAGCAGGACTGAATTGAAGATTTCAAATAGAAACCTTAATTCAACTTGGCTGAATTGAAGATTTTCCACAGAAACCTTAATTCAGCTGGGCTGAATTGAAGATTTCCCATAAAAACCTTAATTCAGCTGGGCGGAATTGAAGATTTCCAATAGAAACCTTAATTTCGCTGGCTTGATTTGAAAGGATTCCAATAGAAATTGTATGAAATTGTCAATTCTGTCTATCTGCATCAGGATTTCCATATGAAATCTTCAATTCTACCTAGCCAAGCTGAATTAGGGTTTCTAGAGAAAATCTTCAATTTAGGCCCACTGAATTAGGTTTCTGGTAGGAAATCTACAATCATGCCCAGCTGAATTAGCTTTCCGGTAGGAAATCTTCGATTCTGCATAGCTGAATTACGATTTCTAAAGGAAGTCTTCAATTTAGCTGAATTAGGTTTTCATAGAAAATCTTCAATTAAGCTCGGCTAAAGTAAGGTTTTTTAGTAGGCAACCTACATTTTAGCCTTGCAATTCAGCCAGGCTGAATTGAAGTTTGCCTATGGAAAACTTAATTTAGCCAGGGTGAATTGAAGTTTACCTTTGGAAAACTTAATTCAGCCAGGCTGAATTGAAGTTTACCTGTGGAAACTTAATTCAGCCAGACTGAATTAAAGTTTATCTATAGAAAACTTAATTCAGCCAGGCTGAATTGAAGTTTGCCTATGGAAAACTTAATTCAGCCAGGCTGAATTGAAGTTTGCCTATGGAAAACTTAATTCAGCCAGGCTGAATTGAAGTTTGCCTATGGAAAACTTAATTCAGCCAGGCTGAATTGAAGTTTACCTATGGAAAACTTAATTCAGCCAGGCTGAATTGAAGTTTACCTATGGAAAACTTAATTCAGCCAGGCTGAATTGAAGTTTACCTATGGAAAACTTAATTCAGCCAGGCTGAATTGAAGTTTACCTATGGAAAACTTAATTCAGCCAGGCTGAATTGAAGTTTACCTATGGAAAACTTAATTCAGCCAGGCTGAATTGAAGTTTACCTAAGGAAAACTTAATTCAGCCAGGCTGAATTGAAGTTTACCTATGGAAAACTTAATTCAGCCAGGCTGAATTGAAGTTTACCTATGGAAAACTTAATTCAGCCAGGCTGAATTGAAGTTTATTCAGCCAGGCTGAAAAGTTTACCTATGGAAAACTTAATTCAGCCAGGCTGAATTGAAGTTTACCTATGGAAAACTTAATTCAGCCAGGCTGAATTGAAGTTTACCTATGGAAAACTTAATTCAGCCAGGCTGAATTGAAGTTTACCTAAGGAAAACTTAATTCAGCCAGGCTGAATTGAAGTTTACCTAAGGAAAACTTAATTCAGCCAGGCTGAATTGAAGTTTACCTATGGAAAACTTAATTCAGCCAGGCTGAATTGAAGTTTACCTATGGAAAACTTAATTCAGCCAGGCTGAATTGAAGTTTACCTATGGAAAACTTAATTCAGCCAGGCTGAATTGAAGTTTACCCTAATTCAGCCAGGCTGATTGAAGTTTACCTATGGAAAACTTAATTCAGCCAGGCTGAATTGAAGTTTACCTAAGGAAAACTTAATTCAGCCAGGCTGAATTGAAGTTTACCTAAGGAAAACTTAATTCAGCCAGGCTGAATTGAAGTTTACCTAAGGAAAACTTAATTCAGCCAGGCTGAATTGAAGTTTACCTATGGAAAAATTAATTCAGCCAGGCTGAATTGAATTTGTTGTGACACTCCCTTCAGTTTGTTTTAAAAGACTACTTTTACGATCGCTTGTTTGTTTAAGAGAGGGAGAGTTGCAAATACTTTTGTGATTCACTGTATGTGTAAATTCCATATTTATCTTGCATGAATCAATTTCGCAGATTTTCCAGATGTAAAAATATTTGCAAAAAAAAAAGTAAATCTTGAAACGTCATTAAATATTACGACATAAAAGCTGCTGATGGATGACTCATTTATTTCATTTTAAAATTCCAATAAAAAAAGAACGTAGAACGCTCAGAGAAGCTGTTTGCGGCACAATGAAACATGCCATTTAATGAAAAAAAAAAAACAACAATCTTCCATTAGATATTGTACTGTGAGAAATCATTGAGTAAAAACCCCTCATCTTCTTTGATTATGTTTTCATGCTGTGTAGTGAGCAGAGAGAGTGCCTTCTTGTCTCCCATTTAATGACGTCTTATTATTTTGGCTCCATTACTTGTCTGCAATGAGTTCTTGTTGTTGTTATTATATATAGTTGTTCAATTGATGACATACCGGTTTGGTAATCAACCAAATCTACATTGTTTAGTAGTAGAGTGGGGAGGTGGGGAGCCACACTCGCATCATATAAAAGCAGTAGAAACAACAAAAAACAAGTTAGCACAAATAGAAGAAGCAGAGCTTGTTTGTGTGAGAGAGTGAACAACACAAACCAATGCCGGCATATGTTTGTTTGCTGTTATTTTTCTAGGGCACTCTCTCTCAGTTGTTTGGCGTATGCCATGCTCTCCCTCTCTGTGTATTAAACTTTTTGGGGGGACTCCTTTGCATGTTAATTACCTTTCGTCGGTCGCTGGCTCGCTCGTTCAATCGTTGCTGTTTGTTTTATCGTTCGTAAAATAGGCGAAAATAAAAATTCACTGTAGTAATGCCAACAGTTTCAGTCTTATAACAGTTTTCAAAGCGTCAACATCGTTGCCTTAGCTATTCTTCTGTGAAGTGTTTAATTTATTTTAATTGTTACTGGTAAATAGCTGATATTTGTTTTTTTTTCTACATCTCTCTTCTATACTAGATATATATGTATATTTACATAGCTATATAACAATATATAAAAAAATAATGAACAAACAATCAGAAAAAAAAACAATAAAAGTGTATATCATTGAGTGTGTGTGTGTGTCTGTGTGTGAAATCAATTTTGCTAATTATTTTGTTGCCTTCTTAGATTTGAATTTTTTTTTCACACATTTTCTATGGAAAAAATATACAAAAGGAAAAGATTGCAAACAAAAAAGTGGGTAATAAAAAAAATAAAGTGCATGATGATACAAGTGTATAAATATTTCTAAGAGTGTGTATGTATATATAGCTGCTGATCATCATCATCGTCGTCACATATTCTTCTTAGAAGCAAAAGAGAAACAAATCTTTTTGGGTGCGGCGCATAGGAAAATACCAAACATCTAAAAAAATTAAATATTTTTTAAGTAATAGAGAGTCTGACAATGATCTTTAAATGTATTTTAAAGATCATTTCCAAATTTTTTTTTAATTTATGTAAAAAATAATCCTTAGACATTAAAACAAAAATTTAAGAAACTGGTCCATTTTTTGTTGATCCAAAATATATTTAACATATTTAGATGACATCATCAACAATTTTTTTCTCTCTCACTCTCTCAGCAGCCCACTGAAAAAGAAACCCATTGACAGCAACAAACATCAAAGTGTGGTGTTTGAGCCCATTGTGATGCAGAATAGTAAACAATAGCAAAAAACAAGTAATGTTTTCATTGTTGTTGTAGTAGTGGTATAGGTATAGATTCATAGTCTTACAATTAAATTGTGATTTGAATTACTTTAATTTAATTTTTTTAGTATTATTAAATTAGAAGGCCATTTTAGGCTCTCTTTGCAGGCTGAATTGTAGATTGCCTACTAAAAACGAATTCAGCTAAGCTAACTTCAGGAATTCCATTGGAAACCAAATTCAGCTAAGCTGAATTGAAGATTTTCTACCGGAAACCTAGTTTAGATGGGTAGAATTGAAGATTTCCTACCAGAAAGCTAATTTAGCTGTGCAGAATTAAAAATTTCCTATGGGAAAGCCATTTCAGCTAGGCAGAATTGAAGATTTCATTTTTGAAAACTAATTCAGCTGGGCAGAATTGAAGATTTCCTACCCGAAAACCCAAATTCAGCTGGGTAAATTTAATATTTTTAATGGATACTTCAATTCAGCTGGCATAAATTGAAAAATCTTAATGGAAACCTAATTCAGCCTGTCTATATTGAAGATTTCCTATTGAAAACTTAATTCGGCTGGGTTAAATTGAAGATTTTCAGTGGAAACCGTAATTCAGCTGGACGAAATTAAGATTTGATGGAAAAAACTAAGCTGAATTCAGCTTTGTGATTTATTATAGATTTCCTCTGGAAACCTAAATTCAGCTTGGCTAAAATGAAAATTTTGAATGGAAAATTAAATTCAGCTGTGATAAATTGAAGATTTCCTATTGGAAACTAAATAAGACTGGGTTACATTGAAGATTTCCAATAGAAACCTCAATTCAGCTGGGCTGAATTGAAGATTTCCTATGGAAACACTATATAATATAAGATTTTTTATGCAAATCCTAATTCATCTAGGTTAAATAAACGATTTTTTATACAAAACATAATTCAGCTAGGCTAAATTGAAGATTTCCTATGGAAACCCTAATTCAGCTAGGCAAAATTAAAGATTTCCTACGGAAAACCTAATTCAGCTTGGCAGAAATTAAGATTTCCTAGGGAAAACGTAATTCAGCGAGGCAGAATTTAAGATTTCTTATGGTAAACCTAATTCAGCTAGGCAGAATTGACAATTTCATACTGAGACCTTAATTCAGCAAGGCTTAATTGTAGATTTTCTATAAAAAAACCTTACCTCCGATGGTCTGAATTGAATATCTCCCAACGGTAACCCTAATTCAGCTGAGTAGAATTAAAGAATTTCATTTGGAAGAATAATTCAGTTAAGGTAAAGTGAAGAATTTTGAATGGAAACTTAAATTTAGCTGGTCTAATTGAAGATTTCCTATTGAAAAAATTCATTCAGCCCCCTTGTAACCGCCTGAAAATCTCCCTTTCCCTATATTTGTGAATATAAATTATTCAGTTGCCTATTTTACTAAAGCAATTTCGAAAAACTATGAGTCATGGGTGGTATATTTTTTTCCAATTAACAAAACTACTGCACTACATGAACTAGTCTGTTATTTGTTTGTTTTTAAATGTTTATTGAAATATACATACGATATGTGTACACACATATTCCTATAAACATTCACCTTTTTATAGTACATACCTTAGAACATACATATTCCGTATGTATATTTTAGGATTGTTTGCATTTTTTTTATTCTGACACGCATTTAACTTGTCGTGTCTTTTTTTCATTTTCTAGATAATGTCAGTGTATAATTTTCATTAAAAATCACGAGGTTGTAGGTTGAAGTAAGATAAAATATGATATGGAGGAAATGACAAAATAAATGGAGCTGCAATCAGTTATCGTAAAAAAGTTAGCGATTTTATTTTATAGGTTATTTTTTCGAGACAGGAAACACCAATCCGAGTTGCTAAATTAAAGTTTTCATATCGGAAATATAATTCAGCTGGGCTGAATTGGCGATTTCCCATCGAAAACCTAATTCAGCTTGGCTAATTGTAGAATTTCAATCGTAAACCTAATTCAGCTGGGCTGAGTTGAAAATTTTTTATTGGAAACCTAATTCAGCTGGGTGGATTTAAATTTTTCCTATTGGAAACCTAATTCAGCTAGGTGGAATAAGAGAATTCCCATCGAATAACCAATTCAGCTGGTCTGAATTGAAGATTTTCTAACTAAACTCCTATTCAGCTGGGCTGAATTGATAGTTTTCTATAAAAACTATATTTCATTTCGGATAAATTCAAGATTTTCCATTGCAAATCTAATTCAGCTAGGCAGAATTGAAGATTTCGCATTGCAAACCTAATTCAGCTAGGCTAAATTGAAAATTTCCCATCTAAAACCTAATTCAGCTAAGCTTAATTATTTTATACGCATGAATTACAATTAAAAATCTGTGAATTATTTATTTGTGATTTGTGTTAGTCACATGCTATGTTTGTGTACAAGTTTATTCATGATATGTGTAGAACTTTCAAGTTTTTTCTTAGAGCTTGTTTTTGTTTATGTTTGGCTCAAAACTGGTTTTTTGTTGGGTTACGTCTGTGCCGCCAACAGCCAAATATTTAGTAGCCACAAGAAATAAACCACGTCATTGCTAGTAGCCGAAAAATAATACATAAAAAACAAATTCACACGCTCTTATTCTCTCCACACATAAACTTTTTAAGCTTTCTTTTCATGTCTGTTTTTGGGGAATTTTTTCATTGTAAATATGAACTTCTTTAGGCTGAATTGAATATTTCCTATAGAAAACTTAATTCGGTTTGGCTGAATTGAATATTTCCTATAGAAACCTTAATTCAGCTGTGCTGAATTGAAGATTTTCTATAGAAACCTTAATTCAGCTATGCTGAATTGAAGATTTTCTATAGAAACCTTAATTCAGCTGGGCTGAATTGAAGATTTCCTATAGAAACCTTAATTCAGCTATGCTGAATTGAAGATTTTCTATAGAAACCTTAATTCAGCTGGGCTGAATTGAAGATTTCCTATAGAAACCTTTATTCTACTAGGCGGAATTGAAGATTTCTTATAGTAACCTTAATTCAGCTAGGCTGAATTGAAGAATTGCTATAGTAACCTTAATTAAGCTAGGCTGAATTGAAGATTTCCTATATTAACCTTAATTCAGCTAGGCTGAATTGAAGATTTCCTATAGAAACCTTAATTCAGCTGGGCTGAATTGAAGATTTCCTATATAAACCTTAATTCAGCTAAGCTGAATTGAATAGGTTAAATTGAAGATATCCTTAATTCAGCTGGGCTGAATTGAAAATTTTCCTATAGAAACCTTAATTCCGCTGGGCTGAATTGAAGATTTCCTATAGAAACCTTAATGCAGCTAGGCTGAATTGAAGATTTCCTATATAAAACTTAATTCAGCTAGGCTGAATTAAAGATTTTTATAGAAACCTTAATTCAGCGAGGTTAAATTGAAGATATCCTATGGTAAACTTAATTCAGCTAGGATGAATTGAAGATTTCTGTAGAAAAATGAAGCTGAATTTATATTTCATACTCCATAGTTTATCATTCAGCAACTCTACCCTCTAAATTTTGTATATTTCCTTCAATTATTTTCGTTTTGTTTTTTAATCTATTTCCAAATCTTCCCCCTATATACGGTCACGATGATGTCATAGTTTTTGGCCAACATTTATGTCTATCCACCAACATCTGCCTACAGACCTCCTTCCAACTACACATTAAGGCCGAGAGAGTATACCAAATAGTGGATACATAGATTTTTATTGTTTTGTAGATTTTATTTTTATGTTGTTGTTGTGCGGTGTTTAACACCAACATACAAGCCGCAAAATGTGTAACGTCATCAGATGTTTACCAAATTTCGAAAACTATGGTGAAAAATTTTTCGTGTCGCTGTTGTTTTGTTGTTGCATTTCATGCACCATAAACCACAAAAAGGGAGAGAGGTGACAACTTTCACTTTTCCCCAACAGTGTAAATGTTGTTTTGCTCATCACACTCTCTCACTTTCGCTCTCTCTCTCTGCCTAATGTTATGCACATGACTGCATTCGTCACCGGCAGATTTTGTCTACTCAGTCGACGTAGCCACCATCCGCTGCTCAACCATCCGTTTAGCTATAAAAATGAAAGTACCTACAAAGATGAGGGATTGTCTCTGGTATATAGAAGACCATTGACAGTGAATTTTACCTTGAACTTGGTGCCGCCAAGCAGATAAGATATGATGTTCGACATTCTCTTTCGCAAGAAAATGCAATTTCGAACACATCAAAGAATGAATGAAGAGCGATGGAATGCAATAAAAGATGATTCAGCTTAGCTGAAAGGGAATTTCTTTCACGAAGTCGTGAATTCAGCCTGGCTGAATTAAGGTTTCTATAGGAAATCTTCAATTCCGCCTGGCTGAATTATGGTTTCTATATGAAATCTTCAATTCAGCCTGGCTGAATTATGGTTTCTATATGAAATCTTCAATTCAGCCTGGCTGAATTATGGTTTCTATAGAAAATCTTCAATTCAGCCTGGCTGAATTAAGGTTTCTATAGGAAATCTTCAATTCAGCCCAGCTGAATTAAGGTTTCTATAGGAAATCTTCAATTCAGCCTGGTTACCATAGGAAGTCTTTAATTCAGCTTAGCTGAATTCGGTTTCCAATAGGAAATCTTTAATTTAGCTTAGCTGAATTCGGTTTCCAATAGGAAATTTTTAGTTTAGCTTAGCTGAATTGGGATTTCGATAGGAAATCTTAAATTTAGCTTAGCGGAATAAGGTTTCTGATAGGAAATCTTCAATTTAGCTTAGCTGAATTAGGTTTCTGATATTAAATCTTGAAATTTATCCGGCTAAATTGAGTATTCCATGGAAATTTTTCAAGTTAATGTAGCTGGATTGATGTTTCTATATGAAATTTTCAATTCAGCCCAGCTGAATTTAGTTCGTGACTTGTATGAATTGATTTCAAGGCAATTTTTCTTTAATTCTTCTCCTCCCCCACCCTGATATTGCCATAATCCTACTCATATAAGTTGACGTAATATTCTATATTGGATTATAAAAAGAGAAGTGGGCATACATATCAAGTGGTTTTTGTTGTAATTGTCGATATGGTGGAGAAGAAGATGCTAGGCTTGGCTATTGTAATACACACACTTGTACACACATATGATATACGGTAACAATGGGCCCCATTGTTAGAATCTGTTTTTCGTTTTTTTTTTTTACAAACAATTTTTTATTAAAATTTCAATATATTTTTATTCTCCTTCTTTGCAGTTAACCCCATTTTTTATTGTAATCTCAAACCCCAAAACAACCAAACAAAATGAGTTCTGCTGAATACTATCCATTCAAGGTAAGTCATATTTTTTCAATTTAAAAAATAAATTTAATAATCATTAAATTATTAATTACAAATCTAATTTTAGAATTACCACTTGAAAATTAGGCCCCATTTTTTTATAAAAAAAGTCATATCGCATTGAATATGAAAGTTTTGTTTTAATGGGTTCCTTATCTAGTTTCCTTTCTGATAATTATTCAAATTAGTGATTTTGTTTTTTATAAACTTATTTGTTGTTAATTTTAATCGCTTGTTTCCTATTCGAAACAAAACAATTTCTGATTCATATCACTTTCCACATAGTTGGAATACGAATAACCCCCCTTCGGCTCACCATATTTGTGTTGTGGCGCATTCGGTTTGTTTGTGCGATAATGACACACTTGTTCGGCATACCAAAATATGTCGGAATGTTATTGCAATAATTATTCATTATCAAAAAGGGTAGGGTAATTGTTAATAATACGACAATGAATCATTTCAAAATATATTTGCCAATAGGTAGTCAGTCTGTTTATTTAAATACCACTTAATATTAAGGTCATGATTTTTTTACTATACAACAGTGATTTTTTTTATTATTTTGCAATCGTATATGCACATAAAAATGCAATTCTGCTAAGCTGAATTAGGTTTCCAATCAATAATCTTCAATTCAGTTAAGCTGAATTAAGGTTTCCATAACAAATGTTCAATTCAGCTAAGCTGAATTAAGGTTTTCATATAAAAATATTCAATTCAGCTAGAGTTTCCATGGGTCAACTTAATTTCAGCCCGGCTGAATTACGTTTTCCATAGGTAAACTTCAATTCAGCACGGCTGAATTACGTTTTCCATAGGTAAACTTCAATATAGCCTGGCTGAATTAAGGTTTCGGTGGGTAAACTTCAATTCAGCCTGGCTGAATTAAGGTTTCTATAGGAAATGTTCAATTCAGCCTGGCTGAATTAAGGTTTCTCTATGAAATCTTCAATTCAGCCCAGCTGAATTAAGGTTTCTATATGAAATCTTCAATTCAGCCCTGCTGAATTAAGGTTTCTATAGGAAATGTTCAATTCAGCCCAGCTGAATTAAGGTTTCTCTATGAAATCTTCAATTCAGCCTGGCTGAATTAAGGTTTCTATAGGAAATCTTTAATTTTGATTAGCTTAATTAAGGTTTCTATAGGAAATCTTCAATTCAGCCTAGCTAAATTAGGATTTCTATGGGAAATCTTCAATTCAGCCTGACTGAATTAAGGTTTCTATAGGAAATCTTCAATTCAGCCCAGCTGAATTAAGGTTTCTATAGGAAATTTTCAATTCAGCCCAGCTGAATTAAGGTTTCTATAGGAAATCTTCAATGCAGCCCAGCTGAATTAAGGTTTCTATAGGAAATCTTCAATTCAGCCCAGCTGAATTAAGGTTTCTATAGGAAATCTTCAATTCAGCCCAGCTGAATTAAGGTTTCTATAGGAAATCTTCAATTCAGCCCAGCTGAGGCTGAGTTAAGGTTTCTATAGGAAATCTTCAATTCAGTCCAGCTGAATTAAGGTTTCCTTAGGAAATCTTCAATTCAGTCCAGCTGAATTAAGGTTTCCTTAGGAAATCTTCAATTCAGTCCAGCTGAATTAAGATTTATATAGGAAATCTTCAATTCAGTTCAGCTGAATTAAGGTTTCTATAGGAAATCTTCAATTCAGTCCAGCTGAGTTAAGGTTTCTATAGGAAATCTTCAATTCAGTCCAGCTGAGTTAAGGTTTCTATAGGAAATCTTCAATTCAGTCCAGCTGAATTAAGGTTTCCTTAGGAAATCTTCAATTCAGTCCAGCTGAATTAAGGTTTCCTTAGGAAATCTTCAATTCAGTCCAGCTGAATTAAGGTTTCTATAGGAAATCTTCAATTCAGTCCAGCTGAATTAAGGTTTCTATAGGAAATCTTCAATTCAGCCTGGCAGAATTATGACTTTCGTAGGTAATTTATAATTGAGATCAGCTGAATTAAGATTTCTATAGGAAATTTACAATTCCAACCAACTGAATTAGGCTTACCATAGGAAATATTCACTTTAGCCCAGCTAAGTTAAGGGTTCCATAGGAAATCTACTATTCAGCCCGGGTTTCTGCGGGAATTTTTTACTATTTTATTTATTTATTCTTTTGACTATTTTTTTACCTTATTTTCCCTCTCTATTCCAGTGCACCCCCACTGTCTACCCTGCCGATCCCTTTGATCCCGTCGAAGATGCCGCCATTTTGCGCAAAGCCATGAAAGGCTTCGGCACCGACGAGAAGGCCATCATTGAAGTTTTGGCCCGTCGCGGTATCGTACAACGTTTGGAAATTGCCGAAGCTTTCAAAACCTCCTATGGCAAAGATTTAATTTCCGAATTGAAATCGGAATTGGGTGGTAAATTTGAAGATGTCATTGTTGCCCTGATGACACCTTTGCCCCAGTTCTATGCCAATGAATTGCATGATGCCATTTCCGGTTTGGGTACCGACGAAGAGGCTATCATTGAGATTTTGTGCACATTGTCGAATTTCGGCATCAAGACAATTGCTCAATTCTATGAGCAAAGTTTCAACAAATCTTTGGAATCCGATTTGAAGGGTGATACCTCGGGACATTTCAAGCGTTTGTGTGTCTCCTTGGTACAGGGTAACCGTGATGAAAATCAAGTATGTTTGTTATGACCATATTGGAGAGGGAAATGATATATTAAAATTGTTGTTGGTTTTTTGTAGGGTGTAGATGAAGCCGCCGCCGTTGCTGATGCCACCGCTCTGCACGAAGCCGGTGAAGGCCAATGGGGCACCGATGAATCTGTTTTCAATTCCATTTTAGTTACCCGCTCCTACCAACAATTGCGTCAAATTTTCTTGGAATATGAAAATTTGGCCGGCCATGATATTGAAAAGGCCATTAAACGTGAATTCAGCGGTGCCGTTGAAAAGGGCTTCTTGGCCATTGGTAGGTCCTATTTTTCTTCAAAAATATATATCCAATTTCCTTATTTATTTGTGTTGTTTTGTTCTCGTTTAGTACGTTGCTGCAAATCAAAGGTCGACTACTTTGCCGAACGTTTGTACGACAGCATGCATGGTTTGGGCACAAAAGATAAGACTTTAATTCGCATTATTGTCAGCCGTTCGGAAATCGATTTGGGTGACATCAAAGAAGCATTCCAAAATAAATATGGCAAAAGTTTGGAATCTTGGATTAAGGTAAGTTCGGTGTTTTATATTTTTTTTAATTCGTCCATTATACACATACAAACATTTTCATATTGGTGTTGGGGTTATTAAAAAAATAATACTAAAAAAATCCATTATTTCAAGAAGAAGAAGCATAAAGAACATGTACATGTAAAGTAGATTTTGTAAATTTGAAAATCTATTTTTAAGGAGGAAACAGGATAGAGGAATTCTGGCTTGGCCGGATTGACATTTAATATAAAGCCATTGTAACAAACCAGGTCTGAATCCTCGTATGTGTTTCCCCCTTTATTCTTCTTCTTCTTGTTATCCATTTCTTTCGTTTGTTTTCCGTCTCTGCATGCTTGCATATGAATGTTGTTTTAAATGGTTTTGTTTGTAGATTTACTTTTGTAGAAATGGTCTTGATCTATCTATCTTTTTGATAATATCTTTTTTGAATTTTGTATAGATAATTTTTTTATAATATATATGCCCTTAACCACACTGTGGTACAGTGTATTATGTCTTTGTATATATGAAGATAGACCCAAATTTACTTTTGACAATATCTTTCAAAATCGATTGAGAAGTGATTCTCAATCGCAATCGATTTAGGCATGCCCTTCCGTCCTGTCTGTATGTCAATGTTAAGTTGTAAACAAGGATAGAGGTCGCATTTATAATCCGAATGTGATGAAATTTGGCACAGTCCATCTTTTTAGCCCAAGGACGAACCCTATTGAAATTGGTGAAAATCGGTTCAGATTAGATATTAGATAAATGGTACACCAAATTTATAATGTATGACCGATTGAGACGAAATTTGGAATAGTTTACCGTATTTAGTCTATAATGACATGTATCAAATTCCATTGAAATCCGATCAGATTTAGATATAGTTCCCATATATATTTTCGACCGATTTGAGGTAAATGGTATACCAAAGCCCTTATATTTCTTTTGATTTACGCGAAATTATGTATAGCGTACAAATTTCATGGAAATCCGATCAGATTTAGATATAGCTCCCAAATATATTTTCGGCCGATTTGAGGTAAATGGTACACCAAAGCCCTTATATTTATTTTGATTTACACGAAATTATGCATAGCGTATATAAATGAATCTAGAGTGACGTGTGTTAAGTTACGCTGAAATCGGTTCAGATTTACATATAGCTCCCATATATATTTTCGTCCGATTTGAGGTAAATGGTACACCAAACTCGCAAGGTATGTTCGATTGAGACGAAATTTGTAATTGTGTACCGTATTCAGTCTAGAATGACGTATGTCAAATTTCATTGAAATCAGATCAGATTTAGTTATAGCTCCCATATATATGTTCGTCCGATTTGTACACTAAAGTCCCTATATATATTCCGATTTGCACGAAATTTGGTATAGAGTACTGAATTTAGTTTAGAATGATGTGTGCTAAGTTTCGGAAAATTCGGTTCAGATTTATATATAGCTCCCATATATATTTTCGGCCGATTGTATGTAAATGGTTTTTTTTGTGGAATATCAGAAAATTAAATGTATAAAAGATTCGGTGAAATCAACTCACCTTTAAAAACTCCCTGCTGCACTCTACAGGCCGGCCTATGACTTCCGGTTTTCTGAACACCTCATATGACTGATGTCCGTCCATACATCTTCTTCTTCTACTTCTGAACTTCTCTATATCCTCGAACTGTTTGGCATGTTTGGTGGTATTGAAGGCCTCTGGTAGGTTGTTCGATTTGTTCAGATTAAGTTTGTTCTGTTTGTGTATTTATCAAATATATGGGCATAGCTAAATTTACTCCCAAATTTTTCAGAAATCCATTTGATTCAGAAATCGAAATTGATATATAGATGCGATAATCTTTTATTTTGGAATTTCCTTAAATGATCCTAAAGGCTGTTGAATGTAGGCATGTGTAGATCGCCTTTCAAGTGGCTGTGATATGGTTTTGGTTCAACTATGTTGTTTCTGGTTTGAATCCGTTATTTCGAATATAATCATACCTAAAATCTAAAGCGTTAGCCCCAAGGCGAAGTATAAAATAAATAAAATATAACATTACTTGTCCTCTTTTACATCAAATTGGCAATTTTGTTGGAATTTATTTTTTTTAATTTTAATCTATGTATTTTTGTTTCGAAAACTTTCTCTCAATGTAATAAGGCTATATACAATTCGCTTTATAAATTTCCGTAAACAAAACATAACCCTTTAATTGGCTTATTTTCTGTAATACCTTCTTATCTATGTTTCAAAAACGGTGCGGTTTTTTTTTTTTATAAAAATGGATACCTTATTTAAAAAAAATTATAACTCCCAAAACCAATTCAATTATTTTTTTCCTATTTTGTGTTTCACTATTTAATTTTGTTATTAAACAATATCCTCCCCAATTCGTTATTTGCAGGGCGATACCTCTGGTGATTACAAACGTGCCCTATTGGCGATTGTTGGATACTAAGACAAATTGCAATTGAAAATTCCTTATTCTACTACTCTGCATACCTACCTACCTACCCCTAATGAAAGTAGATAGAAGCGCACACCATTCATTTTTTTTAAAAAGAAAATATACAAACCAAAACAAATAAGCCTTAAGATATATATTTAAACAAAAGTCTGCCTTCAATCTAAAACTACTACTACATATAGGATGGTATTTATAACAAACAAAGAATCGAATATTTTTTTTAAAAATTTTTTTTTTTAACAACAAAATTACACATAGGAACAATAACACAAAAATCACATTTTTTGTACAAAAAGCAAATTGACCACAAAGCCAGCCCAATGACAAAAATTATTTTATTATTAAATTGTTTTTTATATATATAAATATTTTTTTTTTGTATACAAATATTTCTCTTAAACTTCGTTTTTTATACTATATATATATACATACAAAACCACAGTTGATTATAATAGAACTTTGTTTCTTTTTTTTCCTATTAATTGTAATAATTTTTCTTACATACATACGAACATACCTATTTACAAATGTTGTTTTTTATTACTATTATTATTACATTGCTTAACACCTTACATTTTGTAATTGTAAAAAACCAAAACACATCCATACACACCCACAATTTTGTTATAACTGTCTGTTTTTATAAAAAACTTGTTTTTTAATTAAATCAACTGGTTTGAAATATATGTATTTAAATACTGAAAAAAATACAACAACAAAATAAAAACAATTGGGATTTTTTATTAATTTATTAGTGTACTAGAATGACGTGTGTCAAATTTCGTTAAATCGGATTAGATATATTTACGTCCGATTTGTGGTAAATGGTAAACCAACGGTCTTATATTTCTTCCGAATTACACGAAATTATACATAGCGTACGTAAATGTGTCTACAATGAAGTGTGTTAAGTTTCATTGGCATCGGTACAGATTTACATATAGCTCCCATATATATTTCCCATTTCGATTTGAGTCAATGCTACACTAAACTCGCAATGTTTGTCCGATTGAGACGAAATTTGGAATAGTGTACCATATTTAGTGTAGAATGACGTGTGTTAAGTTTCATTGATTTGAGATAAATGGTACACCAAACTTGCAAGGTATGTCCGATTGAGACGAAATTTGGAACAGTGTAACATATTTAGTCTAGAATGGCATGTGCAAAATTTCCTTGAAATCGGATCAGATTTAGCTCTAGCTACCATATATATTTTCGTCCGATTTGAGGTAAAAGGTAAACCAAAGCCCTTATATTTCTTCCGAATTACACGAAATTGTGCATAGCGTACGTAATTGAGTCTACAATGATGTGTGTCAAGTTTCGTTGAAATCGTTACAGATTTACATATAGCTCCCATATATGTTCGTCCAATTTGAGATACATGGTACATCAAAGACCCTGTACTCGTTCTATTTACACCAAATTTTGTGTAGGGTACCAAATTTACTTTATAGTTGTGTGTGTTAAGCTTCATTGGCATCGGTACAGATTTACATATAGCTCCCAAATATATTTTCGGCCGATTTGAGATAAATGGTACACCAAACTCGCAAGGTATGTCCGATTGAGACGAAATTAGGAATTGTGTAACATATTTAATCTAGAATGGCATGTGCAAAATTTCCTTGCAATCGGATCAGATTTAGTTAGTTATAGCTACCACATACATTTTCGGCCGACTTGAGGTAAATGGTAAACCAAAGCCCTTATATTTCTTCCGAATTACACGAAATTTTGCATAGCGTACATGACTGAGTCTACAGTGATGTGTGTTAAGTTTCGTGAAAATCTGTTCAGATTTAGTCATAGCTCCCACACACATTTTCGTCCGATTTTGTGTAAATGGTGCATTAAAGCCCCCTATATTTCTTTTGATTTGCACGAAGTTTGGCATAACGTATTGAATTGAGTCTAGAATGATGCGTGATAAGTTTCGTGAAAATATGTTCAGATTTCGATATATTTTCGATCGATTTTATGTAAATGCTGCACTAAAGACAAATAAAATATTTTGCACAGGGTTATTTTACCACCCCGCGAAAAAAAATAAAAAAACCTTAAAATACCGAATTTGGGGTACCGTAAAATATCAATAACAAACATCCCAGAAGCAACATTAATGTATGTTCAGAATTTCTATCTTGAATATTGCGAGCTTTGGTTTTTTACAGGAGTGTAGTTATGTTCTTTTCCATTAATAAAAAGATTATTTTGTAGTTACGTCCATTTGAATTTAAAAATGGCAAATATGTTTGTGTATAGTAGCCTAATGATAGTTTTATTCGAAGATCCGAGGGTACCAAAGGCTCTTCTTCTAAAATACCCAAATTGCCTAAAGAGTACATATCTGGCTCTGGTATGATCTAAGATTCGCTCGAAAATCATCAAAATGGCGTATTAAGGAAAATTATTTTTTTTTGGAAAATAGTTTATTTTCTACCTGGAAAATAAATAGGTATAGAATAAGGAGTTAAAATTTGCAACCGATTGGGTTAATAGGCTTTGAGTTATCGTACCCGCCCGCCAGTCGTAAAAACACTGATTGGAGAAAACGCGTTTAATTTTTGAGAAGTACTCTCGGTTATATCTTCAAGAGTTCTAGAGATTTTTACTTGAAATTTTAAAGGCACATTTTTGAGAAGTTATATGTTGGTTGGGGGTCCCCTTAATGTTTGGGATAAAACCTTTAACAACACTAAATTAGCTTTTTATTAAAACATTTTCCAATATAAACACCAACTTCGATTTAACACACAGGTACATACATACAAACCAAATTGGACAAATTGTTTTACAGCCGGTCTCACATTCAATAATACTATCAAGTCTTAACTTCACAATTAAAGCATACTTTTAGGGGTTCGCGAAAATATGTGAAATTGTAATGGGAAAGCTTAAACAAGAAATTAATTATAAATTATTTAAAAAAAAAAACAAAAACATTTAAATTTAAATAAAAAATATTTCAAATTTAATAGCAAAAATTCAAAACAATTCATAAACTTACAAATTTAAAATTTTATGTATAGAAAAAAATTCATTACCAAAGGTCTTTGAATTAAAAAAAATCGTCAATGTAGGTTTTTGATTTTTTAATTCTATAGGAATAAGGATCGTTAAATATTTCTCTATAGAAAATATAATATTTTATTTGTTTTATAGACCCACTAAAATACATAGCTCTATCTTCTATAATTTATTTTGATGTCCTCTGGATGGACCAAACGTCTGAGATTTAAATTGCCTACAGATAATTTAGAGTTTAATTTAATAATTCAGTTAAATTCTTTTAAATTTAAAATTGTATTATTTTTTATTTACTTTCTCTTTCTAATTTATAGTTTTTACTATTTTTTAAATCATTCATTAATTTATATTTTAATATTTTCTATTAATATTTGGCATGTTCTAATTTTTATAATGCTTTATTCAAAAATAAGGTTTGACGGCTTATAATTGCAAATTACATTGCATTTACAAATGCACTTATTAAAAAGAAAATAATTCACTTCTTTTTCAAATAATATGGGACCATAATATTAAATCCACTAATTAATACTGGTTTTCTTATTATTAAAATCATTCATAACTCACCTCTACACATGAAAATAAATTTATTTTGGGTTTCCACATTGTTTTTAATTTTTTTATAAAAAAAATTATTTTTTAAATTAAAAAATTTTCATTTTTTAATTGAAACAAATTTCATTTTTTCAAAATTTTGCCTAAAAATAATTTTACCAAATTTTGTTCCTAACTGTATGGGACCATTTAATGTCACATTTCACCTAAAAATAAAAATTTTCAATCATTTATTTTGGGTTTCTATTTTTTTAAATTACACAAAAAAATCAAATCTTAATATTATGTCTATAAAAAAAAATTCTGATTTTTTATTTGTACTTTTTTATATTCCAATTTCAAAATGTTCTTTAGGAGGATTTGGAAAGTGAAATTGGTTATTTGTTGGCTACCATGGTGGCTTGGTAAACCAAAAAAACAATAGCAACTTCTAAAACTCACTCACGGTGTATGGGAATAGAAGTCAGTCTCTTCTTCAAAACATCTATGTGGAAGCCAAACTTAAATAAAATATTATTATTATTAATTTGTATTTTTTTGCAGTATTTTCTTATTTACTTTCTATTCCAAATTTTCAAAATTCACCAAATTACATTGCATTTCGTTTTCGAAAAAAAAAACAATTTGAGATTAAATAAAAAAAATGTATTTATATATATTTTTTATACGATATATTTTACCCATTGTGTCTTGACACCATGTGGCCTTTATTTCCATAAGAAATAATTAAATAGTAACGAGTTTTTATATATACATAGAGAACAACGCTTTTATTAACCATTTATTTTTTTATTATAAATACGTATATATTTACACACATATATATAAATCGGAGTCATTAACCATTTGTTTGTTGACATCATAAACAAAAATAAATAAATTCAAATACAAATGTGTGTTAAACCAAGCCGTTGTTGTTGTGTTTTTCTATTTTTACAGGAGGATGTAGAAGGGGACGTGGGCACAGTTTTAGTTGCCTTGACTGCCTATTAAAAAAATATACTCTTCTTGCAATTGGCTTGAAATTTCCAAACCCTGTCCTAGGGGTTATTTTCCAAAAATTTTAAAAAAGTATTAAAAATTTGTATGTATTTAGAAAAAATGTATCTTAATAAAAATGCCAAAAAAATTAAAAAATTTTTGAAATTTAGTTTTTGAATGGAAGGGTGGGTTGCATAGTAGAACCATGGAGGGGGGTTTATAATGAATTTGACATTAAGACATCTCATTAGCAGCATGCCTTTGTAGTAAGTATTATCCTGCATAAGCTCCTCTTTGTATTGTTTTTTTTTTTGTAAATTGTTTTTTTATCGTTTTTTTCAAAATTTTGTAGTTCCATTAACACAAAACACTTAACAAAATATTTTCCATTAATTTTTTTTTAAATTAAAAAAATATTAAAAATTATTTTTTTCTATTTCAATATTTTTCTTTTCAGGATGATCTATCTGGAGATTATTGCCGTGTTTTGGTTGCCCTGTGCTCCTATTAATTAAATGGGCATTTAGATGTATTTATTTTTGGTTTTAATTAAATGTTAATAATAAATAAATATAAAAAATTATTGAAAAAGGATTATTTTTTAGTTTTTAAATAATTCCTAAAGAAAATCAGACCCTAGGGTCTGACACTTTTTTCCCACGGAAAAAAATCAGACACTAAAAATCACAAACCCTAGGGTCTGACACTTTTTTCATATAGAAAAAAATTCAGACCCTAGGGTCTGACACTTTTTTCATATAGAAAAAAATTCAAACCCTAGGGTCTGACACTTTTTTTGCTATAGAAAAAAAATTCGGACACTAGGGTCTGACACTTTTTTTGCTATAGAAAAAAAAATTCAGACCCTAGGGTCTCACACTTCTTTGCTATAGAAAAAAAAATTATATAGAAAAATTCAGACCCTAGGGTCTGACACATTTTCCTATAGAAAAAAATTCATATCCTAGGGTCTAAAAAATTCACAGACCCGTAGGTCTTTTTTATATAAAAAAAAAATTCACAGACCCTTGGGACTGATTCAGATTTTTTTTCTTTTGAAGAAAACATTTGCAGGACGTCGAGACTAATTTGTTTCTATAGAAAATTTTCAAACGTTCTCTAAAGGCCTTTAAAAAACTTAACGCCGGTAGATAAACGAATGGTCGCAACACGATTGCCTTTCATAATAATCGTTGTCCTGAGTTTGGAAAGACAAAGTGCTGTTCGCGGAGCAGTAGTCAATATACCCATATCGGGCAATGATAAAGTAACATCCCTTCCAAGAAACTTTGATCAGATGATTCAATTACATCTTAAATGTCGCATGCCATATCAACATGATTATATGACTGTAACAATCAGACCATCGAAGGTGTATCTTAAATTTGGCATTACAATTGATGAAGAAAGTTGGTTTGAAGGTTTTAATTCTTCACAGGTCGTACCGTTTGTGGCTAATCAAGAAGATCGGGAAAAAATCCTAAATATTTTCGAAAATCATCTATCTACTGAATCCACTGTGGACATTGAGACAGATTTTTTTTCTACAGAAAAAATTTTGCAGGACCTCGGCTCATATATTTTCTAAAGAAAAAAATTCACAGACCCTCAGGTCAGTTTTTTCTTCTAAGGAACCTATGGATCCCCTAGAGTCTACATTTTTCGGTTTTAAAAAACATTCTCAGAATATAGGGTCTATTTTGTCCCATATAAAAAAATTAACAAGATCTCATAACTAATTTTCCTCTACGGGAAAAAATCGCAGACTCTCAGGTCTAATTTTTTTATGATTTGAAAATTATAAAAAAATTCACAAGAAAACCTTTCGCAGACTCTCAGGTCTAATTTTTTATAGAAAATTATTTGAAAACCTTTCCCCCATCCCCCCTCCTTCTGCTTTCTTTTACTACCATAATTCTAAAAGTCGTGTATTTTTTAAGATTAGATTTGAAAACTTTGTGGGCCAAAGGGTTGGGGAGGGAGCGATCGTGCCTTTATCGCTGATCTCGCTCTGTCTGGTTGGAACGAAAAATGTGGGTTGGTAATGATTTGTGTTGCCGTCTATAATTTCGGAAAAGAATGCTGATAAGAAGGCTTGGCATTTAGAAATTGATATCAGGAAATTGTGCTAGGCAAACATGAAGACTAGTGGTAAAGGTTTATCAGAACAAATTCGAGTATTTTTGTTTATGATTATTTTTTATTTATTTTTTTTTATATCAGTTTTTATTATTAATAATTGTTATATATATTCGTTAGTAGATATGTTCTTGTACACATGTTGTTGTTTTTGTTTAATACAAAAAAAGAAGTTAATATAAATTCTAATGGGATTTTGCACTTGACTGTGCCGGCGACCGGCACATGCCGTCCGTACATACATATGTAATATGTCTGTCTGTCTGTGCATTCGTGTGCGTGTTAATTTTGTGCTTAAGAAACAAAACGTCTTGGGAGTAAGGTACTTGATTCGTTTAACAAATTTCTTGTTGCGTTTTTTTTTGCGTCACTTAAAATTCACATAATAAATGCTTAGTATTATCTTTTGTTGTTGTTGTTGGATTTTTTTCACTTAACGATTAAATGGAAGAATTGCCTTGCTTGTTTATTTGTCTATCAAACACTCTCCTCCTCCTCCACACTTCATTGCTTGGTGGTGGCCAAACGATCTGTATAAGCAGCCCACAAACGATCACGATATAGGACAGCAGCCTTTTCCAATGATTTGGCCGACATAATACCACGTCCGACAACAGCAATATCGGCACCCTTATCCTTAACCACATATTCGGGAGTGTTGTATTGTTGACCCAACGCATCTGTGGTTTCATCGATTTTAACACCCGGTGTCAATTGAATTAAACCGGGGAAAGCAAAACACTCAGACGATTGGCAGACCATGCCAGCAACAACATCAACATCAGCACCCTCGGTGGCAATTTTGGCGGAGGCTTCCTTATATTTGTCATCAATTAAATTTCCTGTGGCAGACATTTCACCCAAAAGGAAGACACCACGGGGTTTTTCCTCACCACTAAGGCCAGCCTTTAAACCGGAAATAATACTGCGTCCAGGCAATGTATGGGCGGTCACCAAATCTGCCCAGGAGGAAATTTTATACAGACCCTTGGCATATTGCAATGAAACCGTGTTGCCAATATCGGCAAATTTACGATCTTCCATGAGAAGGAAATTGTGACGCTTCGCCAAGGCGACTAAATCTTGTACGAATTGTTCGTTGAAATCTTCCAAAATATCAACATGGGTCTTCAGCAAGCAGATGTAGGGTCCACATTTGTCGGCAGCTTCCAAAACTTCATTACATTTGGTGGCATCGGCGGCGAGGCAAAGATTCGTCTTCTTGCTGGCCATTAAATTGAATAAAGTTTTAGCCAACTCACATTTTGCCAAATTGGCACGATTTTCAAAGGGGATTTTTGTGCGTACAAAATCGTTAACTGGAAAGAGAAAGGAGGAAAGAGAAGAAATTAATATATTAAAATTTAAACTGAAAAAAATTAACCTAAGCTGCTGTAAAAAATTGGACCTGCGGTCCTTTGAATTTGTTTCTAGACAAAATAATGGACTTACGGTCATCCAAATTTTTTTCTCTAGACAAAAAAATTGACCTGTCATCCTGTAAATTTTTTTTCTAGACGAAAAAATTGACCTGTCATCCTGTGAATTTTTTTCTAGACGAACAAAATGGACCTACGGCCCAGTGAATTTTTTTCTAGACGAAAAAAATGGACCTACGGCCCAGTGAATTTTTTTCTAGACGAAAAAAATGGAACTACGGCCCAGTGAATTTGAATTTTTTGGACCTGCGGTCTTGAGAATTTTTTCTAGACGAAAAAAATGCACCTGTGGTCCTCTGAATTGTTTTCAAGACGAAAAAAAGGACCTGCAGTCCTGTGATTTTTTTTTAGACGAAAAAAATGGACCTGCGGTCATAAAATTTTTTTCTAGGCGAAAAAAATGGTCCTTTGAATTTTCTTTCTATAAAAAATAGACCTTCGGTCCTGTGCATTTTTTCTTTAGATATGTCCCGAGGTCCGGCAATTTTTTTTTTTCTGTAGAAAAAATCAGTCTCAATGAATACAGTAGCTTCAGTAGATAGCAGATTTTCGAAAATATTTACAATTTCTTCCCGATCTTCTTGATTGGCCACAAACGTTAAGAACTGTGTAAAATTAAAACCTTCAAACCAACTTCCATCAATTGTAATGCCATGTTTAAGATAGACCTTCGATGGTCTGATTGTTCCAGTCATATAATCATGTTGATATGCCATGCGACGTTTAAGATGTAATTGAATCACCAGAGTTTGATAAAAGTTTTTTTGGAAGGAAAGTTACTGTATCATTGACCGATATGGGGGCACATTGACTACAGCTCCACGAATAGCATTTTGCCTTACGAAACCCAGGGCAACGATTAACATAAAAGGCAATCGTGCTGTGACCAATCGTTCCTCTACAGACGTTAAGTTTTTTTAGTCCCGATGTCCAGAATTTTTTTCTTTTTTATAGAAAAAAATCAGTCCCGAGGTCCTGCAAATTTTTTTCTATAGAAAAAAATCAGTCCCGAGGTCCTGCAAATTTTTTTCTATAGAAAAAAATCAGTCCCGAGGTCCTGCAAATTTTTTTTTTCTATAGAAAAAAATCAGTCCCGAGGTCCTGCAAATTTTTTTCTATAGAAAAAAATCAGTCCTGAGGTCCTGCAAATTTTTTCTATAGAAAAAAATCAGTCTCGAGGTCCTGCAAATTTTTTTCTATAGAAAAAAAATCAGTCCCGAGGTCCTGTAAAATTTTTATATAATAAAAAATCAGTCCCGAGGTCCGGTAAATTTTTTCTATAATAAAAAATATGTCCTGAGGTCCTACAATTTTTTTTATAGAAAAAATCAGTACCGAGGACCTGCAAATGTGTTTCTATAGGAAAAAAATCAGTCCCCATGTCCAGAATTTTCTTCTATAAAAAATCAGGCCCGAGGTCCTCAAATTTTTTTCTATAAACAAAATCAGTCCCGATGTTCGGCAATTTTTTTTTACAGAAAAAATGCATTCCCAATATTTTGCTATTTTGTTTCTATAGGAAAAAAACAGTCCGATGTCCTCCAAAATCAGTAATTCAATCAACGACTCTATATTCTAGTATAGACATCCCCTGGAAGCATCTATTGCTCTAATATATTAATAATAATTAAAAATTTATTTTTATTTTAAATAAAAACTTGTCTCGTGAATGCTATTAACCTAATTTCTTCGTCGCGGCGTTGTTGTTGGAGAAGTCATTGACACGATAAGATTATTTAGCACGTTGTGTTCCAGATTGAATTTCTACATATGGAAAAAAATACAAACGACATCGATGCCTATAGATAGATTCCCTTCTTCAAAAATAAAATTGTTGATCGCCTAAAGTTCAACTGCCAAAAATTGTGTTTGTTTATATGTAAATTATTTCACTAGCAAAAAAAAAAAAAAAATAACAACAACACATTCCGACCAATCGCCATACAATAGGCTGTTGTGTTGTTTTGGCTAACAACAACATATTGTTACATAACAAATATGGTCATTAATTAGTAGTGCTAATAAATTTTTGTACCATAGTGTGGGAAACTATTTAACGAATTATTATTGAATCTCTGTTCGATCGACTGACTTCTTTGATTTGAAGTTGGTAGATAAGAAGGAAAACAGACGCTCATATCTTAGGTGATTTCTTATCAGAGAAATAAACTAAAAAATTCTTCACACACCTGTAGAAAATATTAAAAAAAAAATATTTATATTTCTTCTTTTCCAAAATCATACTCACCAACTTCCTTTTTACTACCCAAGAAATTGCCATCCGAATCAATTTGTACCGCGGCAATATATTTAGCCACCGATTCAACAGTTTCACGTTGAATTTTACCGGCATCCAATAGGGTGTTCAACAAGAATGACAACGTGAAGAGAGAATGCATGCGTACCGAATGTTTGGCAATATTTGCCACACCACCCTGTTCACGGTCAACGACAACAACGGCATCGGTCACCACAATTCCTTCGCTTTGTAAATCTTTAACCGTATCCAAAATACTTGAACCGGATGTGACGACATCCTCAACAATGAGACACGTGTCTCCGGCACTGTAAATGCCTTCGATCAGCTTTTTGGTACCATAGGCTTTGGCCTCTTTGCGTCGCACCAACATTGGAATGTTCTGTTGCACGGAGACAATCGAAGCCAAGGGCAAGGCGGTGTACGGTACACCGCAAACATGTTTGGCATTCAAATTGTGTTCCTTAATGTAATCTTGTATAAGATTCGAGACAGTTTGCTAAAACAAAAACAAAGACGTAGATTATTTATATCGCCCAAGACAAATGGCCCACTGTGGGCCGAACAACTTACCATAACTTCCGGATAGCTGACAATAACACGAAGGTCAAAATACACCGGCGAATTAATGCCAACTTTCATTTTGAAATCGCCAAATTTAAAGGCATTAATTTCGAATAATTTAAGCGCCAGCGCTTTCATTGCTTCAGCATTTTTGGCCAACATTTTTCCTTGAGTGTCTGGTTTTTTTGTTTGATATCACAGGTCACCTTTCCTTTTATGTTATTCCTCTTAAGTTTTTTGTTGTTGTTTTCTTAATAGTGTAGTACAACAACGCGACGTGTCTGCTTGGGCTGTTATACGACAAATATCCACACACGTTTTTCTTTTAAATTCTATTCCTCTTTTTTTCTGTTCAATTAATAAAATAACAAATTAATGGCGCGACAGTCTTTTGACGACTGAGAATGAATTGATGAAAGTAAAAAGGTAGGCAGCAGGCAGGCAGACAGAGAGAGGCAACCTGTGTCAAGAGAGCGAGAGTCAACAAAAACATGTGCCATCAATAAATGTCAAAACGAGTTGAGCAAGGCAATGAACAGTGTTGGTAAGTGAAACTACTGCATTTAATCGATAAAGGCTTTAAATTATTAATTAAATATAATAAAAATATATAAAAAATTACTAGAAAATATTTATTATTTAAATTAAATAATATTTTTAATAAATGCAATAACAATCGTAGACCTGATATACAATTTAATTAAAAGTATATCCTTTTAAAATACTGAACAATGGCAACTCTAGAGTTACACGTGGTTTGAACTTTCCCCCTCTCTCTCACTCCATCTCTGCGCCTTCTTTTTACAATGAAGTGGGTTATCAACAATTTTATTGGAATTTTCGTTGAAATTTTAAATGAAAGCAAAATAATTTTTTTATTTAATAAAAAACGGACCTATTATACGTCATAATCTTTAAATATTGGCTAGAAATTTGTAAGTCCCCGGTGTTTTTTTTTTCTAGACAAAAAAAACAAATTATAGAGTCCTGAGCAGTTTTTTCAGATTTCAGTAGTCCTGAAATCTCTTGAAAACACTAGTACATATTCTTACACTTAATATTTTTATTCTGGTTCTATGCCGTATAAAATTCCTACAGATTCGTGGGAGATGTATCAGGTATACGGCATCTTCCACCCTCTGTGTGGGAGGTACAAGAGGACGTTGATCTATATTTGTTATAATAACAAAAAAAAAATTGTCGTGAAATCTGTCCTGGGGAATATTCAAAAAGTTGTCTATATATAAAAATGGCGATCGCTCTTGTTCTATAGAAACAATTTAATTCTGACAATAGTCGATCTTTTTCCAAAGAATAAATCGAATTCGAGGAAGTCAGTCTGAGAGTATGCGGATTTATTTTCATTTCTGAATGTCGACGATTTTTTACATAAAAAAACTGTCCTGAGGGACAGATTTGCGGGCTGCAATTTTTTGCATTAAAAAATAAACCAAAAAAAATCTTAAAGCCGTGCTAATATTTAAGATGGATTTGGATGGAATATGGATTTTTCTAAAAAAAATATAAAGTATAACAGATCTGAAGGTCTCCGATTTTTCAGTCCTGAAAATTTCGACAGAAAAAACAAAACAAAAAAAATTCTACACCAAAAAAACTGGACCAAAGTTCCAGTGAATTATGTTTAATACAAAATTCCAAAACCAAAAAAAAAAAAAAAAAAAATTGGACCACAGTTCCAGTGAATTATTTTCAATACAAAATTCTAGACGACATTTTTTTCTGGCCTGGAAATTTTTTTCTAGACGAAAAAAATAGATCTGAATGTTTCCGATTTTTTCAGTCCTAAAGGACTCCGAATTTATTGCCACAGAAAAAAATTATTTTTCTATACCAAAAAATCTGGACCAGAGTTCCAGTGAATTATTTTCAATACAAAATTCTATACGAAAAACTTTGGACTTGCAGTCCTGTGAATTTTTTTCCAGACGAAAAAAATGGGAGTTACGGTCCTGCGAATTTTTTCCAGACAAAAAAAAATTGGGCTTGCGGTCCTGTGATTTTTTTCTATACGAAAAATATTGGACTTGTGGTCTTGTGATTTTTTTCAAACGAAAAAAATCCTGAAGTCGTGTAAATTTTTATCTATGGATTTTTCTAAAAAAAATTATAAAATATATCAGATCTGAAGTTTTCCTATTTTTTCAAAAAAAAAAAATTATTCTGGTGTTCGACCAAAACTTATTTCCAGGTTCTGTGAATTTTTTTCTATAAAAATCTCATTCAAGGCTGAAGGACTCCGAATTTATTACGACAGAAAAAACAAATAATTCTGGGGTTCGACCAAAACGTATCTCCATATTTTTTTTTATAAAAAATCTTATGATCTTCGATTTTTTCTTCTATAAAATCGTAAAGCCGTGCTAATATTTAAGATGGATTTGGATGGAATCTGGATTTTTCTAAAAAAAAATATAAAGTATAACAGATCTGAAGGTCTCCGATTTTTCAGTCCTGAAGGATTCCGAATTTATTTCGACAAAAAAAAAAAAAAAAAAAACAAAAAAAATTTCTACACCAAAAAATCTGGACCAAAGTTCCAGTGAATTATTTTTAATACAAAATTCCAAAACCTAAAAAAAATGGACCACAGTTCCAGTGAATTATTTTCAATACAAAATTCTAGACGAAATTTTTTTTCTGGCCTGGAAATTTTTTTCTAGACGAAAAAAATAGATCTGAATGTTTCCGATTTTTTCAGTCTTGAAGGACTCCGAATTTATTGCGACAGAAAAAAAAAATTAAAAAAAATAATTTTTCTATACCAAAAAATTTGGACCAGAGTTCCAGTGAATTATTTTCAATACTAAATTCTATACGAAAAACTTTGGACTTGCAGTCCTGTGAATTTTTTTCCAGACGAAAAAAATGGGAGTTACGGTCCTGTGAATTTTTTCCAGACAAAAAAATTTGGGCTTGCGGTCCTGTGAATTGTTTTCTATACGAAAAAAATTGGACTTGTGGTCTTGTGATTTTTTTCGAACGAAAAAAATCCTGAAGTCGTGTTAATTTTTATCTATGGATTTTTCTAAAAAAATTATAAAGTATATCAGATCTGAAGGGTTCCTATTTTTTCAGAAAAAAAAATATTCTGGTGTTCGACCAAAACTTATTTCCAGGTTCTGTGAATTTGTTTCTATAAAAATCTCATTCAAGGCTGAAGGACTCCGAATTTATTACGACAGAAAAAACAAATAATTCTGGGGTTCGACCATTTTTTTTTTTATAAAAAATCTTATGATCTTCGATTTTTTTCTATAGGCATTTTTTTACGACTTGCCTCAATCGATATTATCGATATTATTTTATATTTTTCCTTTATAGATTTAAAAATTTTTACCATTTTTGATTGCGGGAACAGACCATTATAAAATTATATTTGGTCCGTTCCCGTACTGCAAGAATATACTACTTTTTACTATTTTTTCGATATCATAAAGGAAAATTTGTTATCGTAGTAAAAAAATGTACATTCATGCAGGTTCTGGAACAGGCCACGTTTAGACTACTAAATCCACTCGATCTTAAATGTCAATTCCATTGCGTATACGTCACGTTAATCCGGTTCATGGCACAATAAATTGGTAGTCCATATAGGGCAGCTGATGTCTCGATTAACTGTCAAAGTGGGTAATTTCTACTTGAATTCGATGTGCATTGTTGCCAACCATGTGAAATATTATAAGGAAAAACTGGACAGAAGGTCGAGACAAAAAAATGTTTTTGTTCTGATACATCAACTTATTACTGCATCATGATCATGTTCCACTGGATTATACTTGACGTATAAGCAATGGAATTGACATTTGAGACCGAGTGGATTTCCTAAATCTAAACGTACCATTAAAATTATAGCTTTACTCTAGAACCTGCAAGAATCTTGAACTAATCGAAGTTATCTTCGATTTTCCTGATAAATGTTCCCGGAATGCAAGAATCTACGAGCGCATTTTGACTATTAAATCCTCTTGTAAAAATAGCAGATTCTTGCAGTCTGTTTCTGAACAATATATTTGAAGTTATACAATTTTTCCTTTATACATTTACCATTTTTAAGTACGGGAATTTAAATTGAAAACGAAAATATTTTTCACATTTTAAACAATGTTAATTAACCTAATTTGTTTGTAAAATAATGGTCATGTAAACACTCTTATATTTAAAAATTATTCAATTAATAACACTACTTTAAATGATGTGTTTTATTACAAAACACTTCCAATATAAACATCCTATTTCCTCAGCCTCATCAAACAATTAAATATCGATAGTATCCAACAAAAAAAAATCGATTAATTCGATTAACAAACAACTCCTTTCATTTTTCGACCTATAAATCCCTAAACATTATGGCTTTGTTCTCTTCGGCTCTCTAGTCAAACAATCAACAAACGGGCGCGTGGATTACCTATTTTCTTCGTTCTTTCTAAGTTAAAACAATAAGAAAATTTATTTAATTATAATTTTCGATACAATTCAGTGATATTTGAAAAGCAATATTTTCGCTATATATAAATTAAAAAAATTTATATATAGCGGAAACATAAACATAAGAAATTTCATAACAATGCAAAGCAAATAAAGGAAAAAAAGAAAAGATTTTTCTTCTGTGAGGCAGCAAGCACAAACAAAACAATACATAGAGAGAGGAATACAACAAAACAATGCCTGCTGCTGTAGCTTGATGATGGTAATGTGAACTATATGTGTGTGCGTGTGTTTTATTTAATTTGATGTTGTGTGACAAGTAGGGAAGTGTAGTTAGTGTTGTAAAGTGTGCGTTTTCTTATTGTTTGTTATGTTGGTTGCTGGATTCTACGCGAAGAAGTGCAATAAAAAACAATGAAGAAATAAACTATTAATGAAAAGAAAGGTAATATTTAATATAGTATTATTTGAATTTATTAAAATATTATTGTTGTTGTTGTTGTTTTCAAGTTATATATGTATAAAAAGTAAGAGAGTGCCTTCATGTTCCATTGTGCTGGGCCTGTTGTTTCATTTGACGTGCTTAGCATTGCATAGTAGTGCATGCACGCATCATGTTGATGGTGTGCTACCACCAGCAGCATTAATTCCTGGAAATACTAAATGTTTACATTTCTTTTAGAAATATAGTGGCCAATAGGAATGTACATACATTTCTTGTATGTAGAAGTT